CGATAAAGCTTCTCGAAAATTTGGGATAGAGTTAATCTTCATCGTAGTAGTTCTGGTTCTTGGCTTTTTTGTGGCCATGACGGGAACGTATATGTCTTTAAGAGATATTTTAAAAAATGCCAATACAAAATAAATATGCTGTTGTCAATAGTTGTATGATAATGGCCGTGCTCCTAGTGGTACGTAGCAGTGGACCTGGTCCCAGGATTGAGAAGGTCGATCAAGCTCATGGTGTTCCGGCCCTAGCATTGTTCTTAGTAATGTCTGTATATTTTGGTTTATTTTTGTCGTATCTCATTTTGTTTTTACATAGTATTTTGGAAGCATCCGCAATTCTCCCTTATTCAATGCATGCTCAAGATATTATGCCATTTTCAAGCAAGTGTTATTATTTACATTCACAATACTTTTAATCTTGGAATATGCATGCTTACAGTTTTCTGATGTGGATAACGTTTACTTAAATTATTCTTTGTTCACAAAATTAAAACAAATACTTATAAATGAATGAGTTTTAAAAAAAAGTAACATTTATGGATCAGAAGTGAAAATTTTGACTTTGAGGTCATAATTACATTTAAATCGGGTTTGGGTATCTACTAACGACTATATTTTTCATTCTCATTCTACAAAAAGGTGGCTCAAACAAGAAATAAAAGTGATATTTACTTATTTCTAAGCTTAACAAAATAAATATCGATCATAATAAATTCTAGAATATATTTTAACTCGATTTCCTAAAAGAAGAATGTATTTTGATATGTCCCAATAATTACTCTAATTACATATTAATTATTTCTTTCATGGATTTCCTCACTAATTGCATGTATTTGTTGATACCCTGTGTCATAGTTACTTAAAATTAAGAAGAAGGAAAATTTTGAACTTGTTTATGAGTTTTCGTTAGTGATAATATGAAATGATTATTTATCTTTATCTTGTAGAATAATTTTAAATGGTTATCATAATCCTATAGATAACTTCTTGTGTTATTGCCGATAATATAGACATTCAGTTTCATAAAAAAATTTTAATTCAAGTTATTTAACTGACAGGCTGTATAGGTCGACACGTCTATTTTAATGCCATTATCTACGAATACATTATATAATTACAGCCATGGTAATTTTTTTCCCTCCTATAATTTACTCATGAATTAAACTTATTTGTCAGAAAAATTTTGACACACTTCTTGACTTCCACTCACGTGATATGAGACCCATGTGAATAAAATAAGAAAAAAAATTCCTGCCCCACCCTCCCTGAGAATAAATTTTCTTATTTTAACTTTCACACTTATAATTTAAACAATAAAACTTTCACTTCTTCTATATATATAAATCTATACAAAAGCACAATTTTACTGATCTAGATCATAAAAACATATTTTTGTAATCGAATCCTAACGTTGATTTGTAGCTACGACCAAAAATTTAACTAGAACTTTTGGTTCTTGATTCTAAGATTCATAATCGAACCAATTTTAATTGGTAGCCGGTTGATGAACTAAAACAGTGTGATTTTCAATTCTAAAACCATCCCTCAATCTTAAAACCTAAAAGTGAAGGACCCTAATAAGCTTAAGCTTTGTCCTTCCTTTTAGCATCTACTTATAAGTTATAATTTAAAGCTTGCTGCAATAAGGTAAAGGTGAAATATTAATTGTTTGATTTAAATGACGTTTCTTTCTTTAATTTATTGTTAGCTTTTTGGAATATATATCAAAACTGTACCTGTAACTCTGCATGCCAAAATTGTAGTTGTCCGATCACGTATTTGGAAGACAACGAAAAACATGAGAAACTTCATTCGATAATTTCAAAGGTGATGATGAATGATCACGATTTAACTCTGTAATCGTACATATCAATTATGGGATTTTCTTATATGACTGTTGAAATTTGGGGCCTCCAATC